TAGATGATACCACGTTATATTCATTTAAAAATGTCTAATTTCCCTCTTGATTATTTTATCAACTGCAACATTTAGACAAGTTTTATGAATCATTATCCAAAGTCTCCTTTCTGGTAGAAATCAGTAAAGGTTTCTGGTGCTTTGTACCATGAAGTGAAAATAAAAATATTATAGCCAAAGGTTTGTATTTTGTTTAATGCTTCTCATTTTAAGAAGATTGAATTTCATCCGTTTTGCTGTTAAACTTAAACATTATATAAAAAAGGATTACCAACAAATTTGCAGGAAGTCTGCATCGACCTCTTAAGCCTGCTGGCCAAAAATATACCGTTCTTAAACTGCAGTTGTGGGCTGCACAAAATCACTACAAGGGCCACAAATGGACACTCGTGGTATAAGACATCAAAATATATCTCTAATATTGCTGTTATCCATTTAAATTAAGTCAGGTCCCCAGATCCTTCCAAAGGACCTGGCTTAACTTTGTTTGGCTTTTTTACTTGGATTATTGAGCATGAACTTTGATTGCAGAGTTATCATTTCCTTCTCTGACAGACAGCAGATCTTATATGTTATCAGCTTACATTTGGTTCACACTGAATGTCTGTGGAAACATTTGGCTCAGTTTACACAGCTTTTTGAGGCTGGCTGTTGTCATGAAAAAATAATATTCAAACATTAGTCATGTCAGTTTACACCATACAGTATACTAAAAAAATAAATTATTTAAACTTCTATGTAGTGAGACAGAAAATCTCAGATTGATGCATTTTTGTAAATTTAATATATAAAATTTTGAGCTGGTCCAGTTGTTTGCCCTCGATATTTGAGAGAGTATGTTTGCCCAACAATTCTTTATGTTTAGTTGACTTAAAGAACGCGTATGATTGTGTCCGTCATAGTGTCCTGTGAGGATACTTCAAGGGTATGGGGTATTTTTGTCTCCTATAAGGCTTCCTACTAAGTTGCTCAATTTCTATTCAACCAAAGGGCAAACTTGTTTTGCCAGTAATAATTTATACATGTTTTCAGCAAGTGTTGGAAAATGCCAAGTTTTCACTTGGTCACTGATTCTATTCTTAGTTTTTACAGATAGAATTCCTTGGCACAGCCAAAAGGATCAAGGGGTCTCCAGTTTGGTGGGGACTTTGGATTTCATGGCTGTTTTTTGGATGATGTGGTCCTGTCAGCCTCATTATGCCAGGACCTCCTGCGGGCATTGGAGTAATGTGTGCAGCAGCTAGTATGAGTTCATAGTGCTCCAATGGAAAAGGGTGTATTGGCAACTTTGGGTTAGGAATGGACTTTTACCCTAAGTGGAGGAGTTCTCATATCTCAGGATCTTGTTCACAGGTGGGGATAGAACAGATTGGGGTGGCAGTGATGCAGACATTGCATTGATTTGTCATAGTGAAGGAAATGCTTAGCCGAAAAGTAAAGCTCTGAATTGACCAATCAGTCTACATTCCAACTCACCTACAGTCATGAATTATGTATTTTTTGTTTAGAAATAATAAAACAGCAAATGCAAGCAGGTAAAACAAGCTTTTCTCATAGTGTCTGGACTCCCCCTTAGGGAAAAGGCAAGGAGTGCTGCTAGTAAGAACAAGCTTAGAGTAGGATTGCTGCTCCTATGCATCAAAAAGAGTTAGTTGAGATTGTTTGAGAGTCTGATAAGGATTGTATGGACTTCTCACAAAAGAGGTGTTTCAAACATGTCCCAATGGGAGGAAACCTAGGGCTTTACCGAGGACTTGTTGGAGAAATATCTCAGTGGGTCTGGGAATGCACTGAAGTCACCTTCAGATGAGGAGGAGGGAACTTGATAAAGGGAGGTTTGGGGAGTTCTGCTTAAGATATTGCCCCACTGACCCTGTCTTTAATTAGAAGCAGAAAATGAATGAATAGATCAAAAACCCTAAATAAATAAAATAAAATAAAAAACATTGAATGTCAGGATTTTTTTTTAATGATGGAAATTGCAGAATATATCTGACATATAGCTAGTAATGAGAATAATTTTATTCTGTCACATGGCATATCAGGAACATTTTGTCACACAAGGGCAGCAACCTCCACTGAAGCTAGAGAGCTGAATCAGCTGAAAAGATAGTTTGATCTGACATCTAGACTGACATTCTACATAATGTTTCTGCAGTACATAGTAAAGACATGTCACCAAGTTTTATTTTGCATTAACATAAAGTTCCCTTTTTTGACTGCAACATCTGTCACTAGGCCTGTCATGATAACATATTTTGCTGCGTGATTGTCAGAAATTATTGCGATAAACAATAATATTGTTTGAAATTTGACAATTAGTAACTGTTGTCAAATTTAAGAAATTTTGGTTAAATTTTGTGTGTAGTATCGTTTTTGACCACCAGATGGCAGTATAAGATCATTTGAACCAAAGGATGGGTAGTGAGGGAGCGAGCAGCGTGCCTCTAAGAAAAATGGGAGGGAGGCCCCTTGACGTGACACGGGCTGTCTATTTCTTTTTTCCAGTCCTTAAAATGGCAGATGCTCTCTGTGGGTTGAGCTCTTTAGCATAGCATTTATCACACAAAGCTTTTAATAAAATCAGTAAACAAGTTCTCAGCTTCTTTTTTTCAGAGAAAAACAACTTTTTACACAAAGGCACGGGTTTCAACCGTGAATTCTGGAAGTTTTTTCCTGAGGTCGGCCTGTTAGCTTAGCTTATAGCTTAGCTTCTCAGCTTAGCTGCTTTTAACGATCCAAAAACGCGATTTTGAACTATTAAAACAAATTTTAAAGAAAAGAGAAAAAAGGGAAAGGGAGGGGTCAGTGAAGAGCACGAGGTTGAGCCTTTTGTCATCCAGTGTCTTCAGTAGAAAGAGAGAGACACGGAGAAACGATAAAGCTGATAAATGAAAATGAGGTCGATAATTTTAATTTATCATGCGATTAATTGATTTATTGTTTATTGCAACAGACCTATCTGTCACTCCATCAGAAGATGAGAACTTTGTAAATGTTTGATTCCAGGATGCTTAAAATTCATTATCATCCGGTCCAGAAGCGGACCAGATCTTGAATAATTCTAAGTCTCCGAGTTTACAGTATGTTTATAACATGTACATAGCTTGAAATGGAGTTGAAGAGTACACAAATGAACTGCAAGATTTATGTTTCCCATCATGTTGTCTATCCTTACTGCTTGCCTTCCCTAATGAAGACCTAAATATTCATGAATATACATAGTACAAATTATCTGGAGAACTTAGCCAGCTCTGACAATCCTTACTGAACGTGCATCACAAAGAAAGGTTGTCCATTTCTTCTGCCAACATTTTTTTTCAGCCTTTGCTTTGTTTCACTATTCATCCTTGAATGATGCAACTTCTCTTCTTCTCTAAATGTCTAGTCCTCTCAAAGAGAAATGGTGCTTTAACTGTTTGTTGCAGCCAAGTGCAAACATAGTTCTCATTGATGTAACATGAGTCTGTTTCTCTCTTGTGAACTAGTGCACAACAGCTACTGATAAAAGCTGTCACCGCCAGGCCAAACAACTTTCACTATCATCTAAAACACAGCCAGAGAATAAAGACAGTGACTTTTCAAAGCAATCTCTTTAAATCAACTAGTTTCTCTTCTGAAACTGGCTTTAGTTTCAACTTTGATCAGTGGTAAATGTGTTTGTTGCCTCCACTCACAATCTCAATGTCTCCCTGGCTCATGGTCACTTCCTCTCTCCACACACACACAAACACACAAACACACACACACACACATACATGACAATCATTTTGTCACTTCCAAATAGACCTGGAGTTAAATCAGTTTTGTTGTTGTCGTCGTCATTTAAAGTGAGAGAGTAAAAAAAAAATCAAAGAATGAATTTTTCCTATTATTATATAATAATTAATAATAATTATTATTATTATTAATTAATATATATATTATATAGGTTGGAGTTGACCATTCTAACAAGACTCAAAGCATCATCTTGTATACAACAACTGTTCTTTTTAATCCTTATGTTTTCTATTTGTGTTCAGCTGTTTGTCAGATTGCAGTGCAGCATTGGACCAAGCAGAAGAAGAGCTGGTACTGATGTGTGTTTGAGTGTGAGTGCTTAAATTTGTTGCAGAACATCAACATGAAAATGTGTTCAGACAAAGATGTGCCATTATCTTCATTTATAAAGTGATAGAGTTGTTATGTCCAGTTCAACATCCATCCATCCATTATCTTTACCCGCTTCTTCCTTTTCGGGTCACAGCAATCACTGGTGTCCATATCCAGCAGTCACTGTGTGAGAGGCAGGGGACACCTGGACAGGTCTCCAGTCCATCACAGGGACACATAGAGACAAACGAGACAAACAACCATTCACTCTCTCACTCACACCTAGAGACAATTTAGAGTTACCAATCAGTCGAACATGCATGTTTTTGGTCTGTGGGAAGAAACGCATGCATGCACGGAGAGATCATGCAAACTCCACTCAGAAATGCCCCCGACCGGGATTCGGTCCTGCAACCTTTTCGCTGAGAGGCAGCAACTTCACCAACTGCACCACCGTGCCGCCTCCAGTTCAACATACTGTATATAATTCAATTCAGTTTATTTATACAGCACTAAGTCACAACAGAAGTCATCTCTGGGCATTGAACAAAAACATTCATATCAAGGTCAAAGTCAAGGTCAAGGTTTCTTTATTGTCATTTGCATTACATGTGGTACATGTGGTGGAACGAAATTGTGTACACATGGTCCCAGTTACATCCAACAAAAGTATAAATTGTAAAAGAATAAATAGTAATAATGTCTAAGATAAGAACTAAGAAATATGCTCAACACTTAATAGTGCAAAAACAGTACACCGAACAACAGCAGCACGAACATTGAGTGTGTGTATAAAGTAAGTTAACATTATTTATCTGACTAAATAGTAGCTCCAGAAAGTCACAAACACCTAAAGAAAATATATTTTCTTGACTTCAGGCTGTCAGAAGGCCAAAGGAGGAACTCACCTGTGCAGGAATAGTCATCGATCCTGATGTAGCCGGTGTGGCAAATGCACATGAATGAACCAGGAGTGTTAACACACATGGTGTTCTCTCTGCAGTAGTGTTTCCCTTCAGCACACTCATCAATATCTGAAAAGAGCAAAATAAATTGTTACTGGAGTTATGTTAACTCTGTTAAATAAAAACACAACTAATAAAAAAACAACTGAAAGTTGAAGGGGAAATCAAACAAGTATTCTTTTTTTTTATTAAAGTGTTACATCATTTGCATGTGTGTTGCTTTGTTTCAACAAATGTTCACTATCAAAGAATCCCATTTAAAGCCATCTGACCCTCATCAGTGTCACATATGTAGAGCTTCTATTTTAAGCTGGTTACATAATTTCTGAAGCTGTTTCTGGTAACAACGGGGCCCCAAAAGGCTTCTGCACAACAAATGAAAAGGGGTCATTTGTCTTCGTGAGTGGAACATAGAGGTCAACATGTAGATGCTCCGTGAGAGGTGAGAGCTGAGCGCTTAAGCTTACACCGCTCCATTTTCAGTCTAACAGTGAAGCCCTCATACAGCAGAGGCTCCACTGCTTCTCTCATCATCATCCAGCTCATCTGTCTGTTGTGAGCATATTTTTATTTCAACAGGCTCATATCAGATACCATAAAATCACTAATGTTGCACGGCAGAAGTTAAACTGAATTGTTTAAATACAAAATCTTGCATTCTAAATGTTCCTGGGTAGAACAATGCAACAGATATTCAAAACAGAAATTTAATGTTCACTTGTTGTGCATCTTGGATATAAACATAAAAAATCTTGTGATTAAGGTCAAAACATTGGGCTCTTTAGTGATTTTTGTTTAAGCTGTTAAGAAATAAGTTATTGCATTGAACTTAACAAGTGGTACACCACAGACTAGTCCACCTTCGCTGTGGGATTTGAATGTTGGTAGTTTTATCAATCAACCTTTATTTATACAGGTAAATCCCATTGAGCCTCGAGGACTCATTTACAAGAGAGACCTGATTTCAACAAAGAAAGATGACAACAATGGACAACAGCAACAACAATAAGCAGTTATAAAAACTCATACTACAGTTTTTTTTTTTTTTTTTTTTTTTTAACAAATAGGATGGCTAAAAGGTAACAAAACAAAAAAACAGCTAGATTCCAAGACAAATGTATAAAACTAAAAACAGGAACATGTCTGCATTGGTCCCTGCCAGGAGTATGTAGGACCCTTGCAAGAGGAAGGAGCAATTTAATCCAGGACCAGGCCTAACAGCAGAGCCGGGGGTGGTCTATTTTTGACCACCATACATTAATCTCTGACCACCCCAAAGTCTAGACAAATATTCATCCATCCATTTTCTTCCACTTATCCGGGGTAGGGTCGTTGGGGTAGCAGCCCAAGTAGGGAGGCCCAGACTTCCCTCTCCATAGCCACATGGGCCAGCTTCCCCAGGAGAATCCCAAGGCGTTCCCAGGCCAGCTGAAAAACATAGTCTCTCCAGCGTGTCCTGGGTCTTCCTCTGGGTTTCCTCCCGGTGGGACATGTCCGGAACACCTCACCAGGGAGGCGTCCAGGAGGCATCCTAACCAGATGCCCGAGCCACCTCAACTGGTTCCTCTCAACGTGGAGAAGCAGCGGCTCTACTCTGAGTCCCTCCCGGATGACCAAGCTTCTCACCCTGTCTCTAAGGGAGAGCCCAGACACCCTGTGGAGAAAACTCATTTCGGTCGCTTGTATCCGTGATCTCATTCTTTCGGTCACAACCCAAAGCTCGTGACCATAGATGAGGGTAGGAACGTAGATCGATTGGTAAATTGGGCGCTTCACCTCTTGACTCAGCTCTCTCTTCACCACGACAGACCGGTACAGCACCCGCTTCACTGCCGACATCACACCTATCCACCTGTTGATCTCTCCATTTTTCTCTCATTCGTGAACAAGACCCCAAGATACTTGAACTCCTCCACTTGGGGCAGGACCTCCTCCCCAAACCGGAGAGGGCACTCTACCCTTTTCTGGGTCAAGACCATGGCCTGGGATTTGGAGGATCTGATCCTCATCCCGGCCGCGTCGCATTCGGCTGCGAACCGCTCCAGCGAACGCTGTAGATCATGACCTTATGAAGCCAATAGGACCACATCATCTGCCAAGTCTATTCAAATAATTTGAGTAAGCTACTTTTAGGTAATATAAAAAGAGAAAAAGATTTTGCCATGGCAACCAAATCTTTGAAAGTAACCATTCTGATGCCTAGATATACAGGCACAGAATTCAATAATTCACTTATTTTTTAAGTTATCATGCTACAACATTCACAAATGAAAGGATGGATGATATTTCCAACTCCCCCTCTTTGCTCCACAATGGGAGACAAAAAGACTGATGTCACAGAACCAACATTGACCTAAAAGGTATCTTCACTCTTGTATAGATCTAGTAGATTGCTGCATGAATGGGTAAATGAGGGCACAGATTGTAGTAAAGCACTCTGAGTGTCTTCATAAGATAGAAGGGCATTATATACAGTAAATACAGTCCATTTACCATTCACCTGTTGGTTTAATATTACAGGTACCAGTAAATGTGAAAGCTCCTTGTTGTTCACTATATTTAGTATTTTTGGTCTTTTACACCAGTTTCAGTTTCTAATCAGACTCATTTATTTAGGAATAAAAGGTAAATGTAGACAATCTGTTCAGCAAAGACTCACTGAAATCTCAGTGGAAGATTTTAGCAGCACCATTAACAATAACACCACCCAACAAGCTTCGTCTTGTTCAGGCTATATGTTCTGATTTATGGTTTCAGTTGTGGGTTTTTTGCCACTATCTACACCAAAAAACAAGTTCAGAAAGCATTCACACAGAGAATCTGTAACCCGTCCTGTCTGACCTGAAACAGAACAAAAGATACAAACCTCTATTTAATGCCATTTGTTGGTAGCTGACATTGATGAGACATGAACAGTGGCTGCTGGAGATAGTAGTTGACAGTTTTCATATTGAGCCTGCCCCCTCCACCCCTCTATGAATATATGCTGAATTAAGAGGTATAATATTTTAAGATCTGTACAGTACTGTGGCCATTTGACATTAGAACTACAGCTATCAAGCTCTGCAGGGTCTGTAACATTCCCATTGATCAAAATAACTCCACCTGAGCAATAGGAGCACACAAAAAACATTTTACATATTTTTTAATGTTTATAAATGTTAAAAACATGCACATTTATTTGTTCTCGTTTTCTGTAATCCATCCTACATCACCCTTTTCTTTTAACCTACAACAGATCATCATGCTCACAGGTCAGAAGATGACAAATCAGAGTTTTTAAAAGGCTGATGCTGATGTTTAGAAACCAATTTAAAAAGCTTGTTTTTGGTCTGTAAACGCAACAGTTCAGTTTATTTGCAGTAAAATCTACTATGTTTAAAATGAATGAATGAAATGAATGGATGAACAAATAAATAAATGTTTAAGTAATAGTACATGTAAGATTTATCTTTGGAACCTGAATTGGATCAATACACATTCCTGGTTGTGCTACAGTTTATTTAAAAATTGTAGTTTTAAATGTGTCAATCAAAAAAACATTTTCTATGAGACCAACGGAAAAATACAATAAATCAATCAGTTCATCAATAAATCTTACATCTTTATTTACAGTTTAAGGCTATGATAGATAAAAAGAGAGTGTTTTATTGTTTTCTCTGGTAGATACCAAATTGATTAAAAAATTACAACAATATTCTGCTCAGCTTTGTTGGGCGTCTACTGGTGTTTAACTGAAAAAAGGATACTGATCATGGAGAGCACATTAACACAAAGTCTTAGTGTTGAGTATAACAAGAGTCTACTGCCAACAGATATGAGTATCTGATACCAGTAACTCTAAAAATGCAAAAAGTCAGTATAATTATTCAGTGGACTGATAAGTTGTTCTACCTGTAGCTCCGTGTTTGATTTTTGTAACATTAGCTTTTATCCTTCATAGTCAGGTATTTCATTCACTTTCTCTGGCTTTGTTATACAAACAGTCATGCTAACGTCATCCATCCATCCATTATCGTTTACCCGCTTCTTCCACTTTTTGGGTCACGGGGGTCGCCGGTGCCCATGTCCAGCCATCGCTGTGCTGGCGGGGTACAGGCGGGGTACACCCTGGACAGGTCTCCAGTCCATCACAGGGACACATAGAGACAAACGAGACAAACAACCATTCACCCTCTCACTCACACCTAGGGACAATTTAGAGTTACCAATCAGCCTAACATGCATGTTTGTGGTCTGTGGGAGGAAACCGGAGCACCCGGAGAAAACCCACGCATGCACAGAGAGAACATGCAAACTCCACCCAGAAAGAATCTAGAATTCTAATTCTAGAATTGTGCCGCTCAAGGTGGCTGCATGCTGGAGCAGCTCTTTTACTTTCATTCTGAGATTTTGCTTTTAGAAACTTTAATTCCTCTTTTTCTGGATGTAAATCACATTTTTTGAATGATTGTTTCCTCTGGTATCAGATGCTGTGCAGCCGGAAGGACTTTTACTGAGGCTTTTTTAGTTTTGGACATTTTTTATGATGCGTAACCATGGCAACAAGGCAGTTTTCCACAACCAGCAGCAGCTGATTAACATCTCAAAAGCTCAAGTAATATCTCAACTACAGCACCAAATCACAAATGAGTTGAAAGGATGTTCTGTGGATGCATTCTCATCTACCTGCCAGCTGTGCTCGAGTGCCTGACCACTGAGATCCTGGAACTAGCAGGAAACACGGCTCATGACAGTGGAAAGACAGGATCGTCCCTCGGCACCTACAGTTGGCTGTCCGCAGCGACGAGGAGCTCGGCAGACTGCTGGAAGGACTGGCCATCACTCTGGGAGGAGTTCTGCCCGACATTCGGGCGGTTCTACAGCCCGGGGGAACAGAGATTTTTGGCTGTTTTTGTTTAGTGTACTTTTGCACGACCTAGTCTGGAGCAAACTTTAGCTGTCAGGCAGATGGTCTCACTTTTGACTCTAAAAAACTCTGAAATACAGAGGAGTTCATGGTTGACTCAGTAACAACAAGATGATATGCTCTTTTTAGAGTGAAGAGGCTTTCTCTGGACAATCCATCC